TTATCTTAATTCTTACATGAATTTCATTGCTGACGTGGTACTGCAGGGAATAAAGCTACGAGCTCGTCTCGCCTCATCTATGGGTCCACAGATTTTCAAAAGTAGTCCAAACTTGACTTTGAGTTGCAACATAAATTATGAAAGTAGAACGTCAAATATATTGGTGCCGCTACTTACATCTGAATTCTTCTTTTTCACATTCTTGTAGCCGATCTACCACAATACGTTTTACACGCAACTTTATACTATGCGAATTGAAACTGTGAAACAAACATCCAATCGCGGTATTTCCAAACAAATATAAAATGGGGACCTTTGGGAAAAGTGCATATATCTTTTACCACTGTAGGTTAAAAAAAAACAGTCAAAGTAAATTAAAGTATGACAAAATAAGAAGCACTAATGAAAAAGCTATTAAATCAATAGGATTACTATTAATTTAGGTACTTAGATAAATAAGGTAATACGCAGTCACTGAATTTCATGCAATGCATCTTTATTATTATTTATTTTTCTCCAATCTTGAGGGTTTTAGGCTCTGTAAGTCCACATGACACACCCTTGATTCAATAAATGTAAAGCAAAAATTATGGAAAATCATTGAATTCTTAGAAAACAAAAACAGTTATTGTTTTTCTTTAATTCCTAGATACATACTCCATGATAACTTTAATACAAAAGTATGTTCTGCTAACAGATAACAGCTGGTATCAATAGAAAAGAAGGTAGAAAAAAATCGAAACAGCATATTGTATTATTCTTCGTTGATTGAACAAATCGTTACGACGCGAACAATGGGAGTTGATGAAAATTGATAGTTGATTGATTTATATTCCAGCATCAATTATGTCTTTGAAAGAGTCATTAGCGATGCAACAATAATGAGCGAGTATTAGGACCAATGACAACACATATTCGTCGCCTGCCATACATACAACAAATCCCACGATACGCCCGACATAGCGATTGCAAATTTACCTATTGTTAAACTATTTATTATTTATTAATGGATATATAGAGTAACTTATTTAATGAATATTGTTTATGTATTTAAATGTATTACTGTAATCCTGTACTCACAGCTATTATGTTTTTATATAAGCTTGTGTATGAAATATTTTATTACATAACTAACCTTTGCCCGCAGCTCCGCCCGCGTGGATATCCAATAAACTATTTCATTTTTTTTATATCGACCGACCAAGCTATAAAACATGACCCCGTGTTGATTCTTTTTTTTATTTGAGTCCTGCCTTCGTTTCTCATTCCGATTCCGGGCCCCATCTTTGATTTTGATTCTGTTCAAAATATGCATAATTCCCCCACCACTCCAGCCGTATGGACATACAACGCATTTTATCATCTTTTATATCGACCAATTACCGCCCACGATCCCAATCTCGGTCCTGTTGTCGATTCCATAACAGAGGCGCCCATATTCTTACAACAAAAACACACTTATTGCCACTAGTTTTTTATTATGAAACGACCTCACGCTCTCGATCTCGACCTCGATCCTGCTCGCGGTTCCGATACCCACCTTGAACCATTCCTTGAACTTGAACTCTCTCGAGCATCGTTGTCACCGATAATCAATCAAAGATCTTTACGTCGTTGCATTTCTTTGTCGTGTCTGCAGCTCAATTTTTATCACCCGTTTAAACGTGACAATGTTAGTGTAATTTAATATTTTAAGATTTGTCCAGAGATATCTGTGAACGGTGGACAGACCGTTAAAATAAAAACCGCCTTCAAAATCCTATTCGAGTAATTTTTTAAATAGTGCTCAAAACGACTAATTAGTTTTAGAGTCGGTCCCAGCTAAATTCGCGTTCCAGAAATTCGCTACAGAACAGATATCTTGGCAACTTATCAATGATCTTTCAATGACGATAACTTTTCTATCCGACATCCAATTGTAACGAAATAAAGTGTATTTATCGCTTCAGGCAAAGTTTAATCGAATGAAAATGTGTTGAATAGTTTTCGATAATCCGAGTGGTAGCTTCTATAGAACTTGAGATCCGGACAATATTAAATATAAAACAATTGGAATAAGATATTTTTCTGCGGTAAAATGGAGACCATGTTTTAAGTTAAACCTCTAGCAATACTACGATGAAAACTGCATTCAAACCCATGCAGTAGTTTTTGCGTGACGCGATAACAAACATAGAAACAATAATTCTAAAAACTGTTTATTTTTTGGCTTCTGTTGCTTTAACAAAGATTTCCATATAAGTTTTTTTTTTAATAACTTTTGCCCGCAACTTCGACCGCGTGGACTACAATATTTAGACCATTTTAGAAGCAATTGTGGCGTTCATTCATAGTTTTCCTACATGACCATTTTAAATGACTTCCCTATTGTATGAAAGGCAATAACTACCGAAAGGTCAAGCTGTATATCTGGTTGTACCCAACAGAATATGATGAAACATGGCTTAAATGTTAAGTTAGATTCTAAACTAAGAAACTGTGAAAACCTCATCAAAATCTGTTCAGAGGTTTTTGCGTGATGCGGTAACAAACATACAGACAGACGGACAGACAGAAGAAATTCTAAAAATTGTTGTTTTGGCTTCTGTTGCTCTAATAAAAACCCCCCATATCAGTTATTTTTTAATATCTATAATATGCAGACATCGGTCTGTTACAATTCTATTATATGTATAGATGCGCGCTGGATGCATAAAATATATTAAAGGTATGGAGTTATTATTCAATGGTAAAAGGAAATGGCGCGGTATTGTAAGAAAATATTACGAACACTTTGTAAAATTGACTAATGTAATTGTTAAAATATATTTTTTAATTATTTATTTAATAGAAAAACATCTAATACGATATCCGGATACATGATATGTTATTACTTAGAAATTTATGATGATCAAAGAATCATTTGTCAGTGCATAAGTTAATTGTTAATACGATATTTTCGTGTAATATAACAAATCTATATTCATCTAAAAATCGTATAATAATCGACGTAATTCAACTCTAGCATAAAAAAAAATAAAAGCTAATTATTAGACTCAAGAATTTTAATGATTTATTTTAGATCTACTCTGTAACTTTACTCCTTATGATTATCTTATAATAGTATAAGTAGAAAAAGACATAATAAAAGAAATTCAAATGTCTTCGGGAAAGTAAACTTATCACACAATGGAACATAATTCCATAACATATCGCTAACATCTAAACATCATGTAGACCCTCTAAACAGTGGACCATAGACATAATGAAATCATATGCTACCGTTAATATATATGTGACTTCGATCGCCGGCCTTCTAAACTTTTTTTTAACAATGAATAGACCATAATGTATAAACCTCCAGCTAAACACCATCCGCCATCAACGTATCTGAAGCCTTTGTGTCCATCGCCGCTTTGTGCGGACTCATTAGCGAACTGCAGCGGACTACGTCACTCTCTGCTCTATGCGTCAATCGGCTCGCGTTGCATAATTTTTCTTTTTTTTTTTTAATTGGATGTGCGTATTGTTTTTCGAGCGAATCAGTGCGTGATGATGCACCCGATTTGCATCGGGAGCGTTCGTTCGCTCTTGGCGGTGGCGATTTTTAAATTGTTATTGTATTGTGAGCCATTATGTTTGGGTGTCGTAACGCGCCATTGTGTCAATTTTATGAATAGCACGCGTAGATTATCCGTTTTTATATCCGATCACAAGATCTATCTTTGTCATTTTTGTCGCTGTTTCGTAAATACACATTTTTTAAATAAAACATGTATGAAAAACTACCTACCTGTGTTAAAGGGCTTGCCGACTTCAATGATAGTTTTCTTTCATTTTTTTTTTGAAAAAGTCCTCTGAAAAAGTCCTTGAAAAATGTGTTATATCTGAATGCGTACTGGGTTCATGAAAATTAGACTACTATGTAGTAACTTAAACGCATATTATTATATAGGCAGGTAAGCATATACGAGATCTCATAAAATGGCGTCTTAGAAAAACCACTTTTTGTGAACACCGTGCAAGCGCATACGAAGGATATAATATGGATTGATAGAGTTTTTATCCACTGAAGCTAACATTTCATTACTTTTCTCGGCGGTCACTACGGGCACTTTATAAAACACTATCACATCAGGACACGAAACGGGTGACAATGATTTGGTACTTATTTATTGAACTTATTTAATACATAGTATAAAAAGTGTAAATAAAAGTATTAAAGCTACTACCAACTTCCTTACATCCATTTACAGTTCAATAAGAATGTTCTTGACGCATACCTTTCTATGACATAATATTTTAATTAATTGCCTCTTCAATGTATAATTTATATTCAACATCAAATGCCTTATTAGTGTTACATTAGATGTATCCCTTAGCAAGTTTTTTTACTTGTTACGTTATATTTAAAAATAAAACTAACATCGTACCTAAATACTTGGCTATCCGTGGCCACGTTATGTTATTTTAGGCTATCATTGTTGTATCACCTTTAGTGTATTGTCATATAACTTTCATAAGAGATATTAAATGTAAACAATAATAAAACATTACAAATTATGAACATTCATGACGTATCTTTGAGACATCCGATTGGTACGAAGTTCTTTTCGCTATATGTAAAAAAAGCACTAAACGGCGCCATCTGTTTTATTTTATTAAAGACATTGTTAAGTTCGTCAATTTACAGAGTTATGTAATTATAAAATCAATAATAGATATCACTTTCACATATTTGTACAAGTTATTATTTATTAAAAGTCTAGAATTGAATACTCTCCAGAATTGCAAGAGATACAATCCAAGAGTTTAATTTAATATTTTAGGATACCGAAATGGAATTATAGACTATATACAAACATAATGAAATAAATTAACAACCTTTGAAAGTAATGAAATGACGAAGAAAACAACAAAAACAATGTAGGAACGGTAATAAAATATTATAGTAAAAATTATAATTATTATTTTACTATAAATTACTATACAAAAAACGCAACACCAAAAATAAAAAACCAACATTACGCGGTATTCCCAAGGTGGTTGCCCATATAAGTACTGACCGCGGCCGACGCTGCTTAACTTCGGTGATCGGACGAGAACCGGTGTATTCGGCGTGGTATGGACGTTGACAAACACACTTATAAAAGTCACGACTACAAAGAGCTCAAAAGCCACAGCGATCAACATTTACTTTTTTTGTTTAGCTCCCATCCACCGAAAATGTAATGTGCGATAAGGAATATTCGTTCCAAAAACTGACAATTTTCTATGTGTTTGCTATAGCGCATTTTTTATTAAGCTATTGCATAGCTTTTATCGCGGGCTTGAGCGCGGCGACCGAATCAAGAAATTCTGTAACGAAAATAAAACCTAATACCCCCCACTCCGCCTACCATGTAGCTCGGCCGGGCATTCGCTTAACGTGTTTGTATATGGTACGACTGTACGAAGCTCGCACGGATCGAGACGAACTGCTCCGAATTCAGACGAATACGTAAGCAGCTGTTTGTGAGAAAGCATATAGGTGTATAGGTATCTATCATATCTTTATAATGCCACACTCACCGCGTGTGCCCTGTAAGTATACATGTAGGTATATATGTATACATAGGTGTACCTATGTACAACAGTAATTAGCAGTTGCTGGTGAACAGCTATACGCGTAAAATTTGTGTATAAAGTGTTTTAAATATGAATAAACTAAGTGCATTTATTAATGAAGAAAGTGATGAAAAACTTGAATTAATATCAAAAAAAAAAATACTGCTTAAATAAATTAATAATCATAATTGCATAAGTTGATAAAAAATGCTATGCAATAGCTTTACCGCGGCAGTCCCCGAGTGCCACACGTGTTTTTTTTTTATTTATGTATTTAACATTTATGTACGTTACATGTCCGTATTTAATTCACAGACATACATAAATAAGCGCGCCAAATGTCATCTCAATCGGTCCAATAGATTCAAAACAAATAGGCTGTAACAGAGGGACAGACAGACAGACGCATGAACGATCTTCTAAAGGTTCCGTTTCTTTCATTTCGAGGTACGGAACCCTAAAAACAGTATTATCTAGGGTAATATCAAACAGTTCCGTGAGAAACTGTGCTCAATTATATTCATTTTTAAAAGCGATTTGTACATTAAAAGTTTTGCACTGAAACATTACATAAGTCTACAGAGAATTAAAACAAAAATAAAACAGCAATATTTTGACTCCAATCCTATTGCTTTTTATAAGCATAACGAGGCGTTCCATATTTTTTAATAATCCGTAACAAAAACCAATATGATTCCAGATCCACTTAACGAGCTCAATTTCGCGGCCATATACAACAGCACGGACTACCCGCAGCTGCGGTACAGGCCGCGAGTTTACCAACACGACCAGAAAACTGACAAGCATGTGCTGGGTGACAGAGGAGACGATACGAGAAACGAGGATAACTTGATCAACGATCTAGAATACTCGGATAAGATCAGGGACATGCTGCTGGTGGGATTTTCGCACGATCCCTACAGAAATTCCATTGTGGAGTCGGATTATGGGAAGAAGTGAGTGTGACCATTTTATGTAACGGTTTTATTGTTTTTTTTTTTATCATAAAATCTTCACTTACAGAGTGCGAAAGATAGGATGTAGCAATCGTTTGAAGTTTTATTCCTTTGTAATAGAATTTCGTATACAAAGAGACGGGACTATCGTCAACAGTTGCAGCCGATGTGACAATATTTATAGTGAACATAAATATTTATTTAATCACGTAAAAATTTGCTTTTTCTTCTTCTCAAATATTTACTATTAAAAAATGGAAACAATATGAAAAGACAGATTTCACTTATATATTGCCATCAGACGGAGTTTTAAACCAGATAAATTTTAGTCCGTTTCGACATACTTAGACTAAACTACAAAACATCTCCGGACATAGAATGTATGTAGAATAATTTCAATCTAGATTGGACCTATGTGGCCTACGATGTCGTAAGTGTTAAAATTTAATACTGAAACCAGATCTAGTTCCGGTCTTGTTCTAAATTCTCTACAACAGTGATTTTTTTTTCTAAGACCTAAGAATGGCTCTTCTCGTTTTTTAACCTTTGTAAAATCTGTATAAAGTTTTCACGAAAAATAATCACCATCATCACTCACGATGACGAAAACGTAGTTTTAATCTACATCTTCATCTATGTAGCCATCCGCAGATATGATATTTTAATAAAAATCGTACACAATACGGCAGGCCATACGGTTGTTCTTTGATTTTCGACCACCGGCAACCAATGATCGCTATGCATGTGAACGTCTAGAATCTCCTCAAAAGCCGACGGGGCTTTGACCACCAGATGGCGCCTGTCAATAATGAAACACCATCATATAACTTATTCTTCTTCATTGATTGCGAGTTACAAATGAAAGATATACTACCCATACAATTATCGTATTAAACTATCTACCATAATTTCGCATTTAAAACCAGACCCCACCAAAATCAACCGATTGACGCTTGGAACAAAGACGCCCGTGGCAAACGTGGAGTGCTACATCTGTACAACATGATAAGTTGTGCAACCGGCTGTGACCCCGTCGGCTACAAGGGCTACGGCTGCTACTGCGGATTCCTGGGCTCCGGCAGACCCGCGGACGGCATCGACAGGTCGGCCCATTTTAAACATCCACAGGTCCCATCCTTCCGATCTGACCTTCGAACTGTCAAATATAACATTTGCAATGGTATACTTGCGCTTCTTTTATCATTATTAATTATGGCATAAATATGCATCAAAATGCTATCAATAGACAATATTTAAATTATTTTATATTCCCTTCCACTGGAATGATTTTCTGTTATCGGCCGCGATTTTCTACTTCATTCGCATGTCACGGGATTGTCTTGTGAGAACTGGCCTCTTTTTACGTTAGATCGTCAGTAACTCCAATAGGTATTTTGAAAATTGATCTATCCAGTTAGAAATATTGATTAAGCAGTTAAAAACAACAAGTAAAAATAGAAACAAAAACCTCTTACAATAGTCTAATTAAAAGATGAACTTCACCACCTATTTGATTTTACTGTCTACCACCACAGATGCTGCAAAGTACACGACCAATGCTACGAAAATATATACTGCCCCGTTTGGACCGTCTACTTCCAGCCCTACTACTGGAAATGCATCGATCGAGAACCGCGTTGCGCCCTGGAGAACAGGATCCCAGCAGCGGAAAGACGTTTGATCGGAGCGTGCGCAGCGAGGCTCTGCGAATGCGACAGGCAGTTGGCCATGTGCCTAAGAAAATATTCATGTCCTAGAAGGAGAGCTCTGTGTCGTTCTTCGCCATTTAGATTATTACAGAATTTATTGCTCCCAAGATGAACTGTCAGATTCGTCTGAATATTTGTAGATAATTTAGTCTTTACGTCAATTCTCAAAAAGAATAAAAAAGAAGAGGGCAAAAAAACAAGCCGGAATCGTAGAAGCGATGGTTGTGAACACAATAATCTTATGTAGTTAGTATTAAAGGTATGAGAAACAAAACATTTGAAGTGTTATTAGGCTCTATAATTGTTATCCTATAACACGATAAATAATTATTCAAAAAATGATTATTTCATTATTGTACACGTTTTAAGCAAAAGCGGTTGGGCACGTTAAAGTCAGGATAAGCATTTAACACAAAAATTTACTTAACATTGTCATGTTAACCATCGCCTATTGCTCGTGTAAATATGTATATATCTATGGTAAAAATCGTTCTCATTTATGTTTGTTTTAGCGAGTGTTGCCAGTCTGATAATTGTATTTTGAGCGGTCTCGACAGTAACAATAATATCATCATTACGCTGTTTGGTACCTGTCTCACTCAGAGAGCTCCTATAAATTTTAATGTCTGTTTAGTTAAGATTCATTAAAAAATACTGATCAGAAACAATCGCTATTTAACAACTTCTAAAGTATGGTCAGTGCTAGAAGAAATGAATCGATCGGAGAAATGCTATTCAATTGGCTTAAATACTCCTCATATTTGACGAGACTATAAGTATATTTTACAACTCTAGGCACATTTATTAACACTAGAGTATCTATAAATGGATTTCATTATAAAAGCAATAATTATAAAAAATCGTCATTTTTTTTTAAATCCGACTTATAAGCCAAACTCCCGACCCCGATTTTAATATCTTATTAAAATATTACTTCAAAAATTAGAATTATGTGAGGTTGCACATCATGTTTTAACTATTTGTGGTGAATTTGTGGTGATGTGCTACAGTGTTTTTAGGAATATTAATAAATAAACAAAAGTGCACGGATTTTTTATCTATTGCTTTGAAGAATACAGCTCTTGTAGATTATTTATTTCTAGTAGAATGCTTTGCTAGAACTTGTGTGTGCACTTTTTTCATCTATCAATTTTCAAGAATAGTGCTCCTAGTATACTTAAAAAAATCGATATAATTCTAAAAATCTTCAGCAGATTAAGAGACATTTCTATGGATAATAATGTGTAATTATAATAGATAATTTAACACAACAAAACATTAACACATTAACGTAACAAAATTTTGGCAGTAACTGTCAAATCAAAAATAAGGGATCATTAGCGAAGTGACGAATATTGTTTATTTAAAGCTAATTGTCATTAAGACGCTCTTGAAATTAAAACAGTATGCCCTACAATTAACTAACTGTGGGAGTGGCAGTTCGTCGAAACTTTTTTAAATAACCGCTTATAGAAGGATTAAAATTTATGTAAGGTTTCTGAGTGAGCAGTAAGCGAGGGTGTTTTTTTTTTCATGAATTATTATTTTATTGTCTTGAGCCCAAGTCTTTGTTGCTGGGGGAGCATAACAGAAGCATTGTTGTATTTAGCATAATTATAATATATGCTCACATACACCCCTCTGCCGGTGACGTGTATAGGCAGAGACCGCAGGTTTTTGCATAGTATGCTGTATACTTAACTTTAAAATGTTCATCGCTGTTGATCAAATAGTTCCATACAAATAATCTTTCTCTAACATACCACCAATTTGGTCTACATAAAGTGCCTCTTTACGATCTTTCCATCACGCAGGTGTGCTCTATAGGTATATCTCGTAAATGCACTTTAGGTCATATTT